AGGCAGAGGAACAAACATGAGGATTCTATGTGCAGTGGCTGTAGAACGAGAATTCTATGAGCAGATTAGAGAGATATGGACAAAAACCTGCAAGGAGAAAAGTAATGAAATGGTATATTTTGAGAACACTGCTCGCTGGCAGGAATCTTTAACAGGAATATTCAGTTCTGTGGTTTTGGTTGAGCAATTCCAAAATTGTGTGGCGAGGCAAAAAGGAACACTGCTGGCTGGCAGGAATCTTTAACAGGAATACTCAGTTCTATGGTTTTGGGTGAGCAATTCCAAAATTGTGTGGCGAGGCATACAAGACGAAGTGGAAGACTGGAATTGGTAAAAGGTTCTCTGAGCCTAAAAATGGCCATTTGGTGAAGAGTCTGTCCTTTACACCTCTGAAGCATTTACTAGGTTGGTGTTGCTTGTCTTATGCTCAGACTGTACTGGAGGTGTGTGGATCTCCTAACATCTTTGCCTCAGATATTATTATGATAGGATTATCACACCTCAAGACACAAGTTCCAGAATAATGGTGAACAGATGCTTGAAATCTGTTCACTGTTCTGGCATAGCAACCTCCTGCCAGACTTGAGGTAATCAGCTGAGCTAGCCCTCCACTCTAAACCTGGTGCTGTTGAACATCATATCTGTATCAAATAAATCCCAGATTATACAAGACCTCATTCTGAAGGAGGACACACATCTGGCATGCATAACCAAAACATGGATGAGCAGGGAAGGTGGTGTTCCACTGACTCTTGCCTGTCCTCCCAGTTATGCAGTCCAGCACCAGGGTAGACTGGAGGGGCCATTGTGTATAAGAACACTCGAGGTTGTTAGGTGCTCTGCAGTAGCAACGCCAGGTCTAGATTTCCTCCACATGTCAATTGGGACTCTGCGGTAGCAACGCCGGGTCTAGATTTCCTCCACATGTCAATTGGGGCCAGGGATGGTATTGGGATCTTGCTGGGTTACTGCACTCCCCGTGACTCAGCCATTCCCTTGCTGGAGCTGGTGGACTTTGTCTCTGTGGCATGCGCTTCCCGCGACCCAGCCATTCCCTTGCTGGAGCTGGTGGACTTTGTCTCTGTGGCACTGTTGGAGTCCCCAGGGCTTTTGGTCTTGGGTGACTTCAACATCCATGCAGAAGTGGAGGTTTCCGGTCCGGCTCTTGAATTCTTGGAGATCATGGCCTCCCGGGACATGTCCCAACATGTCAATGGCCCCACCCACTTGGGTGGCCATATGCTGGACCTGGTGTTCTCCGCCAAGCAAAGCGAGTGTGCTCCGAGGATGACTGATCTAGTGTCTGTCCCCTTGTCATGGTTGGATCACCACCTGATTAAATGCAACCTTACAGTGGCTCTTCCTCCCCGCAGCGAACAAGGACCTGTTTTAATGGTTCACCCTCAAAGGTTACACGTGCCATAGGTTCGCCATCGCTGGTCTACATGATGGGATCAGGTGTTTTCAGAACAGGACCTCTTTGACCAGAAGAGAAAAATCTCAACACACCACCTTCTTTCTTAGTTGTAGTTTTAGAAGAGGTAGTCATGTTAGTCTATGCTAACATATCAGGAAAAAACAAAGCAAAATAAAAATGAAAAATAAAGACGACAAACATGTGGTGGCACCTTAAAGACTAACTGCTATGTTTTAATGTGGCCTTTTTGGACAAGTCTGAGGAAGTGGACTTGTCCACAAAAGCCTACATTAAAATATAGCATTTACTCCTTAAGGTGCCACAATATGCCATTCGTCTTTATTTTTCATTTTTCTTTCTTTTTTGCCAGATATTCTTCTTAAGAGATATCTATTATTTGTGTTTTCTTTATTGGGCTTCCTTGCATGAACCCCATCACTGTGGAAACACTGCCAAGACAATAAGAAAGCAGACACATATTGACTCTCATGTTATTCTTGGCCTCTCTGCTTTTTTCCTGCTGGTGGGAAAAAAAGTTTTCTTGATAATAAACTTCAAAGCATTAACACTTTCAGCACCAAAGCAACAATATGCTGTAGATGTATTCTTCTGGGGTGGTGGTGGTGGTGGTGTAATTAAGTGAGAGGAAAAGAAAATCAGTGGAAAAATTGCAGATATATGTCTTACTTTGAATATAAGTAAGGGTGGAATCCTATAGGACCACCTGCTGAGTGACTATAATGTCTGGCAAAATGCCAGATACTCACCCATACTCTGACTGATACACAGATAGAGGAGGGATTCAATGGCATTTCTTCCCAGCTTAGGAAGAATAAGCTTACATAGCCTTAGGTTGCTGTCCTGAATATACTTAGCCATGGGTAAACTCTATTGACATTGTGGAGTCTACTTCCCAGTGAACATGCTTAGGACCGTGCTATTCAATTTGTTTTCGGTGGAAGAATTAACTGTGTGCCTAGATCTTTCTCATTGAAATGAATGAGACAAAGGTCCCGGACTTTAACATATTTGTGAGAACTTCATTACAGAGAAATTAAGATTTTATCCCCAAAATTTGGCACATCTCCTTTTATAAATTTATTTCTGCACATTGAAAGATGCAGAACTAGACCATTTAAAAATTTCTCATCCATTCACGGCTGTTGAACTGCTCACAAACCGTAGGCATTAATTTTTTTTAAAAAAATGGCACCATGGTTTAGATACATCTGGCTGCAGAGACAGAGGTTGTGAGTTGAATTCCCTACAGTGCCTCCTGTGAGTACAGCCAGCCTGGGTGGCCTTGGGCAGGCTGCCCAGTCCCAGAGCATCCCCAGAAGAAAGGAATAGAAAACCTCGGCACATTATTATT